ATTTTTGTCCAATGAATTGTGTTTTCTTAAAGGTCAACTTATCCCTCATCCGGTAGCTATGCAGGGCATTGGCTAGGCGCTACTTCAGCAAGATGGGATGACCTTCGAGGATCGATCATTACTACTCAAGAATTCAATATGTTCGGAATTCCATACGTCGGTGCATACATTTGCGGCGATGATTCTACGGTGGACGATGTGGAATTGTGCGTTAGATGGTACCAAGTTGGAGCGTTTTACTCACTGTTCAGGTCAGAGGAATTTCAGATCACGTTCGCAGCTGAGAATAATTGGTATTTGAGATATCCTCATCGCTATAAGAAGAAGCAACCGATAATGCAAGTCGAATCAGGTTTAGATATCTGTGAGAGCTACGTCCTCGAACATTTCCTCTGAACACTTGATCTAATAGGAAAACTTGAACAACAGATCATGCAGCGGTAATGTGGATTGAAGTGATGATCCACATCTTGGTGGATTTTAAATTGAAAGGTTCATTGGATGCAGATTTAGATTTTTGAAGACATCGTTGGCCATATTCATGTTCAAATCATGTTTAGATAAAGAAACATCAGCAATAATTCGTTAGAGAAAAGAAATCGTTTTCAGCGATAACAACTACAAAAGTAAACCATCAAAAGACCCATTGCACATTGAAGCAATATCTGTCGCAGCAAGGCAGGCCAGTATCTTCAGATACTACTATCTTCCGTATATTTATACGTAAGTGATAACCTCCATTGTTACTCACTTGCCAGTATTGACAGAAAACCATTCTATGGAATGAATCTACGATTAACCAGTGTGATGGCCACTGATGGAATCAAAATTGAATTGTTCCCTTCACTGTGCATTGTTCTTTTGGTAGTGAGCCTTAGAATTTGCGATTACAAGTGAGGAATTCATCCAATATTCGTTGTCGTATTTGATGCCGAAAGAAATAAGCAATTCCTGGGCGATGATCGTTGTCAGTTTCAGTTTGCACGAAACGGCAGCAAATACTGGAGACCCCGTATTAAAGCCAGTATTCTTTGTCGCTCCAAACGATGAAAAAACATACAACATAAGCCATCAATTTATGCTCGGGGATGGCATGATGGTCATTCCAGTAACTCAAAAGGTTTACTGACATTCCTTGATCGTTGTTGATCAAATACAAACCACCAAATATTACCTAAACTCGTACCATTACAAACGATCTATATGAGTGATTGACAGATGGTCACGAAATGTTTTCGATCATAACCTGAGGCTATTTGGCTGTCGTGTAACGAGCCGGATGAAATGAATGACTAAATGATCGAATGTAGCACACATGATATAGGGCTTGGCGATAGCTAAATGATATAGCATTAAAAATTAACCTATAACTTTTGAACTAGGCAAAATCGCCCGACAACATATATATCA